GCCACAGCTGGCCTGCACATGGCATTTACCTGTTTTGTTAGGTGCTGAAGCACTAATGCTTCTGAAGAAATCATCACTGTGCCCTTACTTTAAGGTTATTCTTGCCTTTTTGACTTGGCAGAATTTTGGAGTTGCTTTTACTCTGAGATACAAATGAAAAAATATCAGGGTGCTTGTCTTAAAATGTACACTAGTTTTTTGAAGGTGCAAGTGAGGATCCAAGCCAAGACTTGCAAGGGGGACCAGAGCTCTTCATTCTCAAAGGAACCTCTGAGCTGTGTTACACTGAAAATCCCATGCTGTGCTTTGCTTCCTGAATGAGCGCCTCTGCCTCCATTGCTCATCCAGGAGTGGATAGTGTTGCCTATGTATTTTTATAATGCAGCTAGGGGATAAATACATTATATCTTTGGCATGTGTTGTTATAGTAACATTTACAATAGACGCCCATTTGTGTCTTTGGATATTAAATTAAGCTGTTAGTAGGATAGTAGATGTTAGTAGAAAACTAAAGAGCTTTCATTTTTGGTCAGCCAAAATTTTGATTTCTAAATAACAGCATTCGTAACAAATTCAATGCCTAGGATGACTTTATGGTCCTCTACAAAGGGCTCTTCTCATGTACGAAGAACTGCTAAGCCCTTGCTCTAGTCTACACCCACGAATAGTGAAACCCAGATGCAGTTCTAGGCACATGCATTCCTGCTCCTTTACCAGGAATTCCTGCTTCCTGTGCCCATCACCAACCCTGCAGCCCAAGCCACAGCTCCTATTCAGGACCCATCCTCCCATACTCCAGAATAATACCTGCGAGTCAGAGATCTCTCCCAAGAGGTCCTGTTGGACTCCAGCCCCATTTATGAATTTCCTCTGGGCTCCAGGCTCTCTGCTCTACTTTGTGGCTGTGAGGGTGAGGTGGAGATGACTGAAATAAGAACTCTATTTCCAACATGAGGACCAGACTTTGGGGAAGGGTACAGGGATGCCTCCCTGCAGAGCCAATAATCCCCCACGTGACGGATCTCACTTCTGTCTCTGTGACACAAAACCTCATACGATGCTCAGTGATAATAAAATAAACATCTTTATTTTTAATAGATGGACAAAACAGACCCAAAACTAGACAATATTTTCCTGAATTGCATGGGCACTATTGGAGACAATACAAATGAAATTAAAACATACATATATCCATATTATGCTTTCTATCTTTTGTTAGTAGTAGTTTTAATATATCATTTCTGACACAGACAAAAATATACTTTTTTTTTTTTTTTAAACAACAGCCACAAATACTGCTCTGATTAATAGCAGGCTTACAATAACGTACTGTCTAATTGCACATGGTACTTGATCAAATATGCTCAAAGGGCAGAAGGAAAAATGAGTAACAGGTTTTTTTTCCCCTATGATACTTATATTTGAAATACTAAATTATTGTACTATGAAAATAAAAGACTAAATCTGACTTTTACTTTATTTGATCCACTTAATGTTTACATTCAGTTCAGGTTCACAAAAGCATGTGTTATTTATAGTACATATACCATCCTATATAGACAAATATAGATGAAATTGTAATTCTTTTGATGTATCAGCTATGTATTAACTTTGATTTTATGAATATATCTCATGCAAAGAGGTAAAAAACCCTGTTGAATAAGTGTTATTCACAAATGTTAAGAATCAGAAAGTGAAATGCACAAACATGATATAAATATTTTATTCAGAAATGATTGGCTCAGAAACAATAACCTCTGTGTTTGAAGATGAGTTCTTTGCTTCACTGACTGTAGATCCAATGTAGTGCACACTACCACTACCTACAAACTGCAAAAGTGGAGAAGGAACGTTTGATGATTCACATGAAAATAAAGCTTACTTGCAGAATCATACTGTTGGTTTTTATCTTGTGGAAACAACTTGGTTGCATTCTGTTACCTTTTTTTCTTTGCAGCTGTCAATCATATGTATGGCTTTTGTTATATGATTCGCTTTGTATAAACCCAATGGCAGGGTAGTTGAACTAAGGCAAGAAAACCAGTAAATGGACATTGCATGGGGTTGTCTTAGTTTGGCTTTCAGAGTCATACAATCCACAGCAAAGCTCACCACTGCAGCTACTGAAGCTGTTGCTGGGTTCACACAAAGAAATCCAGAGACTTTACAAGTAGAAAGCAGAGCTAATGTCACACTATGAACAGTCTTCCATGTTTCTTCTCCCTTTTGCATGATAAAGCTTTCATAGTGTGCTACTTGAAACAGTGCAATGAACTCTACATTTTCTCAGAGAGCAATGGAAAACTGTTGGAACAATTTTTTGCCAGAAAAAGCAGTTCCAGCAAAACAGGAAAATATTCAATAAGGTGAACAGTACAAAACATTCTGGTAATACTGAAAGCATCTGGGTTGAAGTTTTTGGGATAACATATTTTGATTTTTCATTTAACTTTTCTGTGAGCATTTTAAAGGCCTTCATATTTTTATGGCAATGAGGGGATACAAGGGAATCAAAATACTTTAAAAGAGCCCAGCTGAATCTTTCTGCCTACTTCCTTCTTCAGCTATTGGAAATTCTGAAATATGCAACGTAGAAATGCTGCTGGCCAATATGCAGCTTCTCATAGTGAAATTCTCTCAACTCTTAGCCAAGACACAAGTAAAAAAATTTTCAGGAGGACTTACTTGGTAGATAAAAATTTGGATCCCCTAACTTAATTTGGAACTGTAGTGTAAAGCACTGGTTCTGGAAGTGGGTAAAAAACTGTGGCTTGGTATTTTCTCATAGAAATAGATTCAGGCTAGTGGATTTGGGACAGACATGGATAATAATTCAGCAGTGGCTCCATTCTCTCCTCTCTCCCTTCCATGCTTTCCACCTCTCTTTTCAAGGAAAAAGTTAAAGGAAAGATTACAGTGGGCTTGTGTCCAGTTTGTAAGGTCCTCAGCACCCTGAAGTTAGTTCATCAGCAGATTGTTCCCTCACCCCACAGAACTTTCTCTTCTTTTCTTTGCTGTGTTGTCTCTTAGCAGATTTGGGGCTGATCCTGATTTTAATTCCCTCCACCCAGGGCACACTCACTGCCTGTTCATGCAGCAGTACTGCAGTCCACAGTGCATATCTGGAACTCAGATGTAATATTATTTCTAATGCAGTGTATGGAGAAAAAAAATAACATCTCTAAAATTAATTTTACCTACATATAGTATATATATATGCCATTAAAACTCCACAAAAGGAGCAAAAACATATCTAAGAATTCAACCTTGTGAAAGTTTATGTTAACACTGAATGTACACGTTGATGGCTTCTTCCTTTAGCAGCAAAACCTATTCTTACACTTCACCTCCTCCAGTATAGCTCCTCCTGCTGTAAATGTAAAAGAGTAATTTTCACCAGTGATCAGCAACAGGAGAGTATCTGGATTTCAGCTGAATGTTCTGTGACGTGTAGATATTAAAAAGAATTACTGGAGCATAACTCTTAGTAGCATAGAAATCTAGCTATTAGATCTCCCTCTGTGAAAGGCACGTACCAACGAAGACAGACATAATCGTCTTGGCTGTGGGCAAAATGAATCCAAATTGAATGCTCTCTGCTGGCCAGGCCATAGTTACAAGAGGCTTAATCTTCCCTGCTTTGCTTCTAGCCAGCATTATCACTTATGAATGGTCTCACTCATGCCTGGATAGTGCTGGTGCCCCACAGGCACCATGCTGGCCCATGAGAGTGGCTGTCAACGAAGGAGTCCAGCACTTAGCTGAAGACACTGCTATGCATTTTGGTACACTTGTGGGTTCAACTTTCCTTTCAGATTTCCTCCAAGCTGCTGCTGCTTCTGGAGGTAAATACAGGCATGCAAAGATCTTTTCTCATGGGAAATCAAATTTTTGAGAAAATGTGATTTTCCATGGAAAATCTAGTCTTTTTTTCAGAGTAACCTCAGGAAGTCCAAGCCAAAAGACTTTCTGTTGTCTTTGAGAATATCTTTTCTTAGTAAGTGAAATCTGGGTATTTTCCCCATCTGCTTTTTTCAAGCAGCCTTCTTGAATCTCTGATTTTTAATATTTCCTCCATTGTTATGATTGCCTGTTGTCAGACTGCTTTGCTTAGTGTTTGTTCATTTTTTTGTGATAAATCAAAATAAAGCTTCCTTCCACAAAAGTTCTTTTTACTTTATAAAAGTTCAGTCTTTTTTTTTTTTTTTTTTTCACAAGTTGAGTTTCTCAACTCCGATTATTGCTTTAAAATTTTTATCCTCCTCCATTGGTGACAGCCACTAAACACAGGAAAGAAGAAAATCTACAGTAACATACTTTGCTTAAAGGTCATCTTACATTAGGCACACCATCACTTTAACTGCTGATTTCATTTTAACTTCTTTTAAGAGTATAAGATGTTCAGCACATCTATAAAGAATTTGTTACTATTTGCATATTCTGCTGTTTTATGCAAATAATAACAATATACTAGATTTGCATTCTTTGAAATCTGTTATGAGGAAAAAAATTCCAGAACAAAAACCTAGGGAAGTTATCCATCCGTCTTTGTGAAGGCATTTAGTTCTTTAGAAATAAATCACTTACAGCTGTGACAATGTACTTTCACTTAATGCCAACAAAATGTTGGCTTGTAGTACTTCAGATTGACTGTATTATAATCTCTTCATATGATGTCCTACCTAAATAGCTGTTGCACTTTTCTGCTACTTATATTTTCAATCGTAAATATATATTTTTTAATTACATAGTTTATAGCTGTGGGTGAAAAGAATAGGATCTAAGTGCATCTTTCAGTAAACACTCTGTGATCTAATCCAACATGTTAGATAATAACAGGAAAGAGTTCTGCCCGTGGATGCTCCTGCTTGTAGAACCAATTAGAGATTGTGCAGTGGCATTTCATTCCTAAGTTTTGCTTTTCTTTCCATAAAATGCCTCTTACTATTCTTTGTAGAATATTGTGTTTTGCATTGCTCCGTCTGTGGGTGCCACGCTTTTTAATTATCTTCAGTGTTGGACAGATCTGGACTTGAATCAACATAATTAAAGGCTTCCTTGTTTGTGAAAGTTGAGCTCAAAGTTAGACTGTGTCGTGGATTCACAGGTGCGAGTTCATTTAATACAATATTGTCACTCTTTACAAGTGTTGCTTTGTCCATATGTTCTCTACTGTACCTCGCAACCACAGCATCAAGGAAATCCAGCTTTGGTGGCAAAGTCCCACTCTCAAATAAGTATTTGGCTAAGTAGGAGACTATAATGTTAGTAAAGAAGGAGGTAAGCATTGCAAGTGTTTTAAATGGGAATCGCTGGACGTAGATATTATTTTCATCAGGATAGCAACCAGGATAGTAGATCAAGGGCTGAAGGTAGAGGTATGGTTCTCCTCCAGTTATTCTGAGAACAAGGCCAAATAAGTATCCTGCAATGGCACCATAGGTGTTGGTTCCTTTAATAAACAGCACACACAAGAGCTGGGGGAATATGATGATATAAACAAGATCAGAGCTGAGGTACCACAGGCCGTACACTGATGATGCCAGCAGCGCCATTGCTGTCGCTGATGCTCCAAAGAGAAAAACAGTGATTCTCATGACCCATACGATTTCCCTGTCTGAGGCCTGCAAAAAAAAAAAAGTGCAGTGTTATGGTGGTATGTGTATGCTTTCATTTATGAACACAGTCTGTATAAGTCGTGACATTGTAAAAGGGAACGATGCCTGACATTCAGCAATATTCACAAGCTAATAATTCTATCTCAAGCATAGGAGAAAAAAACAAGGGCTATGGTTGAAAAAGTCATTAACCTTTGCGCACATGAAAAAATTTGATAGAGTCAGAGAAAAAGCAACAGTTGTAGAAATAACTGTTGAAAATAAAATAAATATAGATCAACCAGAAAAAAACCTTCAGTGTCCAATTTTTTTTTCTCCATTTCCTAAGAAAAACTATGACCACAAGCCTACTCTGCACCTTTCTTGAGTGCCGCGTGATTTCCTAATAAACCAGTAAGTCAGAAAGATGTCTCAGTTCATTAAGGATTTAAGTAAAACTTACGGTTGCAACAATAATTAGGAGCTATTTAGAATAAACTGCAATGCCATGGGAACACTTGAAGTCTGCTTTTCATGATCTTTTTCAACTGTTTTACCACTCACAACCATGAACGTTTTAAACCTTCAGTTTAGTCAATACACTGTTAGCAAAGAAATACTGTACTTTTTCTAGTCATAGGCAGGAATATGGATTAAATGTTTCACTAAGTGAAACATAAGGCAGTCTATGCTTTACCTAGTAAAGGTCTCTCACTGACAATTTTCTCTAAAAGTAAAAATGGAAATACAATCTCACATTTTGCCGAAATGAGAGCTGGTAAATGTTCCGAGCAAACATAGAACTTGCTGATAAAATTGAAGAGTCAGCTGATGACATGACAGCAGCAGATACAGCACCGAGGCCAAAGAATGAAATGTAGACTGGGCAAAGATACTGGAGCACAATTGGTAAAATCATATCCGCTTCTTTATTAGCAATAGGGTCAGGAACACCATATTCAGTCTGGTTCCAGGCTGAAATATAGACACAAGTGTACTGTGAGTAACATTATTAGTCACTCATTAACGTCAGTAACATCAGTAGGTGATTTTAGCTTGCTTTTAGTTCTTACTGCTCTAGTCTACAATCAATAGGCAATAAATCATATTAATCTCCCAGTACTGAGTTCATTCTGCCTGTGGTGGTAGCTGGTGGGTGATCTCTCTGCCCTTGTCTCAAACTATATACTTTTTTCTGTTTTATTTTCTGCTCCTGTTATTTGAGGGTTGGGAGTGACAGAGCAATGTAGTGGAGCTTAGTTATCCTTTGTTGTTGAACCACCACAATGGAGCAACCTCCCATGGGAAAAACATACTCTAAACGTATTTTTCAGTGCAGTCTCCTGTTGATGAAGTCATGGGTTGATCAATGATGTTACCTGTGTAATGCGAGATTTTCACACACTTATTATATTACTCATTTTTTTAATAATTCACCTGTGGATGCTCCAATTGCGCCGATGAGTACTGCAGGAATTGCCATCACAATGCAGCCAAAAGCAGCCAGAAATGACAAAACTTGAGCATATGTGGCAGAAGATGAGGAAAGAACTCGCTGGAAATATGCTTGCCATGGGATACCTCCGAATGTCTGCAAACATAATAAGCAGTGTTCCATTACTGGGAGCTGACACCAGATTTCTTTGCTATCATCATATAGAGAACACATAGAAGCATCACTTGAATGCCGCATTGCTGCTCTTTCATTTATGGCTTATCAGTCAGATAGTAACAGCTGTAACCTCCATTCTCACAAGTAATGTTAGATCTTTGTAAGCCCACTTAAATCCCACTCTTTTAGCGAACTTACACTCTGCACAGTTAGAAACAATGCTACATAGTTTCTGTAATCCTAAAGCATTGTGAGCTCTGTAAATATTTTATAAAGCCTTACAAAAAAATTATAAAAATACTATTGACATATCTCATACTTGCAGAATTTGACCGCCAGCATCCTTTTCCCCCCAGAATTACATTAATTAGGATTGGGAAGCAAGATTTTATCTCCTTCTATGAATGTATATAACTATCTAAACAAGCAACAAGTTCTATATGTATTCAGCATGAGAATATGAAAAATGTTCCTCTCATTATCTAAACCAATTACGATACCAATATAAGTTATGGATGAAGTAGTAAAAAAGAATGTGGGTTTTTTTCTGCTGTTGTTTTAATTCTTTTTTTTTAATGGTGGCAACCCTTCTCTTGTTGTGTGGATGTAACAGTGAAGATGAGACTTAAAATTACACCCACAAAATATAACATAAAAGACTATTATCAAAGGCTGAAAAAACATGCTAAAATCCTCTCTTCAGAGCAGGATTTGAGTAGGCTCCACTAAGTAAATAAATGCCTATGACTAAGCACTGCAGAAAGAGAACAAAGCAAACCACTCACTAAAAGTGCACAGTCCAGTTTAACATGATAAATGAGGCAGGAGGTGTTTATTCCTAAGCATGTGTATACAGGTGTTTCATATATGCTTCATGCACACAAGGGACCAAATGAATGCTTCACAAGCAACTCAGATTTTGGCACACTATTTATGAGTGCTTCCTTGTACAGCCTTAATAACAGTATTTTAACAAAGCTTTCCAAGCATGTGTAAATTTCTTGAAATGTAATGAAACAAACAGGATGAAAAGGAAATGTGTCACAATTTGGCAGCATCAGAGCTTTCCTTTGGTCATCAGCAGAAATGAAACCTTCAGCCTTATGGTACAGAATTCAGCCACGTGTGCTAATGTCATATTTTGACTCTCTAAGAATCTCGAAGCAACATATGCTGGATAAAATGTTGCATTTTATTAGCTGTATTGTCAGAAAACTCTGAGGATTTTTGGCTGAGGTTATTTAGGAAAAAAAACAGAGAGAAAGAAATCCCAAATTAGAATATGATAATAAAAACGTTATAAAGTTGCCCAGGGACATTGAGAATGGAAAATGTTAGCATGTGTTGCTAGACCTTCTAATGGAAAGCACTTAATAACCACCAATCCCATGTGTAATAAACGAGTATTAAATAATGAAAACCCTCAGCTCATTCTGGCACGGATGAATTCATCCATCCATCTCTGCAAAGCTCTTTCTACATCACCTACACCTAAGGCATATTTAATCATTTGTACGATGTATTTATTGCCTTTCTTTGCCAAGAATGACATCACTTAAGTGTTAGCCACACACTTTTAATTAATTTTAGCATAAGGCAAATCTTTCAGTCTGACAATATTTAAACAGTCTTCCTGACAATGCTGATATTGACAGCTGTGCTACAGTACTCTACTGGTATTTCTCTGAAATCATTCAAATGTTCAGAAATACAAGGAAAAAAATGGAAGGAAAGGAAAAAGGAAAAAATGACACCCACTGACATTCACTGACACTTGCATTTACAGAGAACAAACCACGGATATGAGCAGTGATGCAGTGGGTGGTGTGTTTCAGCAGTGATGACAGTGACATTGAGTCAGTTCCACTGGTGCAGAGTGCAGCATGCAGGCTTCTTGTTCACAGCTGGTGAAAATGCATAGCTGATGGTGGTGACTGTGTTGAAAAAGAGTGTTTTGTAGCTGAGAATTTGTTCTATCAAATAGTGTCATTGTGCTCTTTGTATCTGTTTTAGTTTCCATGGAAATAAATATGAGGCATTACTTTCAGAGTGATCTACGTATTTAACAAGAATGAAGAAGATAGAAGTTTTCATGTTACTGGAAACTCTTAACTAGATTCTGCTCTTTCTAGCTGTTACAATAACACAGTGCTAAGGTGCTTCAGTCTTTAACATAAGCCATCACTTACCAGCAAAAGGAAATTGTCCAGCCAGGTGTAAATGTTAAGTGAGCCAATAGTTCCGAGCCAAGGTGCTTGGTGCACCTCATGCACAGCTGTGAAACCAATGTCTGTCACTGCAGGATTGGACAATGCAAAGGGTACGCTGATCCACTGTAACCAAAGAATAATAGTTTGTTCAGGTCTAATGAAGGCATGATAAACCTATAAGTGTTGGTCTGTTTCTCTTCTTGCATGCTGCAGATCAAATGTCAAGCTGACTTGCAGAATAGCTAGAAAATATGCCAGAACACCTCCAAACTCCAGAAAGTACTGGATATTTTACCTTTTTCCTGGACAGTATGAGTGTGAGGACAAAATTTATCAGTGGAAGTCATATCATCAGCAGGAGAAGCATATTTGTACATATTCACTATATTTTCCCTAGCTCTACACATAGTCTTTACACCCTTTCTTGGACCGCATTGCAGAGAAACGTCTACATATAAACCTGCAACAAAAGCAACAGGATTTGTGAGTATACAAGTACAAGGCATCAAACCTGAAAGCTTGGGAATTTCATTTGAAATCAAGAAAACGTAGAATTTATGCTTCTAATGGGAAAAGAGGGCTGTGAGGCACTGGCGCAGCTGCCCAGAGAAACTGTGGTGCTTCATCCCTGGGCAGCTGAGCTGGTGGGGGGCAGACCTGCCTACAACAGGGGGTTGGAACTCAATGATCTTTAAGTTCTTTTCCAACTTAAGCCATTCTATGATTCTGTGATTCTACGAAAACTGTATCATGGCAAGAGAGGGATGCTGCTGGAGCATCTTTCTTGCTCCAGAATACTCCAGTGTATTACAGTACCCAGTGTGTTAAAGCACTTTTCTACCTTGAGAATAATTTTACTCTGAGCTCTTGGCTGTTTTGATCTGAGCCAAAAAATCAATTGTGAAACAGTTTCTACCAGAGGATGGGTTTTCTTCACCAACACTCTTTTTGTGTATTTGTCATCCAGTTCATTTTTCACTCATTAACTCCCTGTGAGGAGGACCTTGGCACTTCCTACTAAGAAGAAAACCAGGCTTACTAATCCATGGAATAGACAACTGCAAGCACAGCACCCTGAAGCCTTTAGTGATAACCAAAATTATGCAGATTACTATAGCCCAAATGAACATGTGTAAGTGCACAGAGGTGCAAGGAGGTGAAACTTCAAATATCTTCCTCTACCTTGTTGCACAATTACTGTATCAGTTTGTGGAGAAGACATGAACTATTGCTGTTTATTGCAGCAAGTTGCTTATCAAGTTGTTTATCAAATACAGTTTCTCAGTTACATATTAAACTTTTCCAATTTAAGCACCTGGGAAGAAAATTTCCCTTCTCAATGTTTGCTTAGGCTGTTCTGCAAAATATCATCAAAATGTTTTAGCCATCTCCAAGAGATTTTGAGGGAAAGACAAACATTGCCAAAATGATAGGATACTAATACTCTTCTATTTTTTTTTTATTTTTTTTTTTTTTTTTAATTTGCAGAGAAAGATGACGTGGATTTTTCATTCTTCTTTGTGAATCTCAAATCTCAAACATGTCAAAGTGATGAATTTATGAAGAGCTGTAGTTCGCACATATTCAGCTGAGATTTTCGGTAGGGAAAATTTCTGAAGGTCCATCTGCAGCCTTCAAGATACAGCCCAGGATTTAATAGGGAGTAAATTGCAAACACATTACTAGCTTTTGTAATCCATTCCAGCTCCTGACAACAATATAGCTCTTTGTGATCTCAAAGACTACCACTACCTTAGTAAACAGAACTAATCAAGACATTTTCTCTGGTTCTACAGATTACTGATATTTCCATACATATAGACTTCCTTTTCCTGTCAAACAGAACAGCCTTGACCTGATCCTGGGGATTATCTGGGAGAGTACTACCTGGCATGGGCCAAAACAGTGCCAGGACTGTATCAACAATACAATAGAACAGATGATCTTTTATTTTTACCTTGGCACTGTACAACTTGCTAACGTGGACGCAGTCTTGAATTTTCTCCTATTGTCCTCTCTGAGCTGTTAATAATTGGAGTAGGAAATTCACTGTTTTGAATGGAGCAAAAATAAAACAATGGCTTGTGGAAGTGAAACAGATTTGGGGGCTTTATGCTGTGAGTAGTTCAGGGAAGAAGAGGTATTAGAAGGATCTGGAACTCATGGGATTGGAAACCAGAAAAAAAAAAAAAAAGTACTCCTATATGACAGCAAAGATTTTAGAACGAAGAACTAATAATACAGTTGAGATGAAGAGACAAATAGTTGGGGACAGAGTACAGAATCAGGCAAAGAATGACTGGGCAAAATAAAGTCAGAGACTGGAGCTGAGTGTTGCAACTGTGGGTAGAGGAGAAGAGGGTAGGAAGGAAACTATCTGGGATTGGAAGGAGAAAACCAGGGAAGTATGTGATTACCTAGACCGGGATAGGGTTTATGAAGACATAAGGATGAGACTGTGTCTGAAATGAAGAGCCAGCGCAGGGAACAGAAGTGATTAGAACATGTATCATGTCTCCAGTAAGGAAGAGACATTAAGAGTAGTGGGCAGTAATACTCTATGCCAGTGGGTACACAGACTGCTCCAAAGTCTGCAGGGGAAGCTTGGACACCAAGCCTGTCACATCTGCTGTGACACTTGCTGTGAAAGTGTCCTATCTCATCTGAAATCCCTCACCTAAGCATGCCTGTTTAAGTGTTATCTGAAGCTTCTCATCACTCCTAAGGTTATGAATACAGTTCTTTCTACATGACAGCGATACTGTTTATTTTAAAAGGGAAATTACATGAAGAGCCCAATCTGGATTAAAAGAACACTACTAAAACTACAGATCCAACCATTTAAAAGATTTCTATACCACTTTTGTTTGTCTTCCCCTCCCTGTTCATGGCGACTTTAATCATGGGTTCATGTTGCTATTCCCATAGAATGAGGGTCTGTAGTAGTGCATGAGTGATTTACTTTATTTGGGGAATTTCTGTAATGTACACCATCTGTGAAAACTGAATGGTTCACAAATGCTAACATGCACCTTAGGGAAGGAGACAGCATTTACCCCACTGTGCAGATGAAGAAAAGAAGTGTGAGAGAAGTTGTTCTGGAATAACTTCTCATTGGAGGTGGCCAGCTGGAACTTGTATTTGCTTTGTCAGAGTATTTAGCACAATTCCCATGAAGTCAGTTACAAATGGGAATGCTTAGCACTTCTGCAAATAAGGTTACAGGCCTCACAGTAGGACACCACAGAGTGAGGTCTCACACAAGGTTAGTTAGTAGCCATCTGTGCAAGCTCTGGCAGAAGCAATTTCCCTAGGGCTGCATGAGAACTCTGGCGAAAGCAGAGAATCAATGCAGGGTCCCCAAGGTGTCATTCAGCTCCAACACCTTGAGCCACCCCTTCTATTTCAGCCTGTCTCAGATCTCTGCACACCTGTGACAATCTATTACTAGCACTGGCAAGCAAAAACAAGCAGCTTCTTTGACTGCACCCTTGTGATCTGACCCCTGCTGCACTGATGTTTTTCTGAGTACATTCAAGGAATAGCAGTAAGTAAGGGGAAGGCAACCCACTGTCATATCACTGATAACTGATGGGTGAATCATAACACCATATTCAGACAGCACGGTCATCTTGTGAGACTCCCCAGTCTCCAAGGTTAGTGGAGGGAAATGAGAAAAAACCCAGATGATAATTTACAGCAGGTTATCTAAGCTGCATAGGTGATAGCTACAGGAAGGAGAAACTGGAGAATGCTGGCTGTACAGGTCCAGTTCCAGTGTTTCTGAATTGCTTTATTGACTGCTCTCTGCATCTGATGCCTCCTTCCACTGCTTTAGCTACAGCCTTATGGACAGACAGTCAATCTTCTCTAGTCCTGTTCTGAATTAGAGACATACTCAGAATGAAAAGTAAAAGAGTGCCCTATCAGACTGGTAGGAAGAAAGCCAAGAATTGTGCCTCGTATCAGCAGTATTGCCAAAGCATGGGCTGTATACTGATGTAAATACAGACTCTTTAAAACCATTGGTCTGTAAGTGGAGATATTCCTTCACCTCACCTTGAGAGAAGCCACAATTCCAGAATTTCAGCTGAGCAATAGGTCTCTGCATTTGTTATTTGTCATAAAGCTCAAGGCAAAATTTTCAAGAAAGTGAAAAAAACCAAACTTACCAGCCCAAGGAAGATGCAGAACAACTGAACGACGTCAGTGTAGGCCACAGAATAAAGCCCACCCACAAGAGTGTACAGAGTTGCAATAAGGGCAGAAATAATGACTGAAAGATTGACATTAATGTCAATGATCACACTTATTGTGGCACCTATGGAAAAAAAAAAATAACAAAACAACAACACAAAAACAACACTATGTTAGTGTATGTCACATAATGATGAGAAGGAACTGGATCCCGTTGCCCAAGTCATTAACGAAGTTGTTACACAGCTCACTATTGACCCCCAGGGTACTCTGGTGGATGACTGGCCACCAGCTGGACTCCACGCTCTGGTCACAGCCCTCTGTGCTCAGCAGCTTGCTAAGTTTTCATCTTCCTCACTGCCCACTTAGTTTGTCTATGCACATATTATGGGAGCCAGCATCAAAAGGCTTGGTTGGCCTACACATTACTTTAATTTGTGTACTTGTAGGGACAACTCTTGTTGCTCTTTATGGCCATATTCAAACCCAGGTGGACTTTGGCTGCTCAGACCCCATCCTAGTATTTTCAGACAGCATCTTCATATTCCTTCCAGGTCACTCGCTCCTTCTTCTACCTCTTGAATGCTTCCTTTTTATGTATCTGTAGACAGCAGCTTCTTTTTCATCCATGCAGGCCTTCTGACACTTTCTTGTTTTCATGATTGCCAGAGTGGACTGTTTTGAAGCTTAGAGGAGGTGATCCCTGAATATCATCCAGTTCTCCTGAATCTCACTGTCATCTTCCAAGGGATTCTTCCAAGCAGATCCCAGAAGAGACCAAACTCTACTCTCCTGGAATCTGCTGCTGTGGTCCTGCTTTTTGCCTTGTTCCTTTCTCTCAGGTCTCTAAACTCTATCATCTTCAGAATACTACACCCAAGGTTGCCTCTGGCTTTTACATCCCTAACATTAATTCTTCCATGTTTGCAAGTATTAGGCTCAGAAGAGCAACTCTCTTCATCATATCCCTTAATCGGTCATGCAATTATCAGAGCACTCTAGAAACATCCCAAATTGCTTGTGTTCTGTACTGTGCCTCCAATAGCTGTCAAGGTGTTTGTATACTTCCCATAGATATACTAGCTATTGCAAATGATTGTAGTATTTTAACACATTGTTTTAAAAATTCATCTCCTTCCAATTAGACCAATTTAGATGAAATATCTTAGAATAACTTTTAGTCCTTGTGGTACAGCAGGTGGATATTCTTGAACACATGGGTGGAAAGTATCTGGCAGTAACACCCAGAATAACATGTAGTATGTAAGAGTTGCAGAGAGCTGACAGGTAGCTTTTTATTGTACAATGAGCCCTCAAGATTCTAGTATTTCAGAATTATAGGATCAAAAATCTTGCAGAAGTTGGAAGTCCTGTCTTTCCCTTCTACAGCCCTGCCAAGCCAGGAATCATGAGAAGATCAGCAGATGAAGAATGCATTGGTGAAGATAGGTGTGCAAATCAGGGGTTGTAATACAAGTGTGTCTATTCACAGAACAGTTTAAATTATAACTCTCTGTGACCTTTATAGTCTTTAGCCACCAGTGGTTAATATGAAGCTCCAAGAAAGGCATTCACATCATTTACTTTGAAATATCACATATTAGCTTGTCCTCAATCAAAAAGAAAGTATATTTTAAATACTTAAAGAGTTCTTCAAGCTATTCAACTCCTATCACCTCAGCGTGTAGTTTGTTCTTAGTCCTTTAAGGGTTTTGTGATGAAATTGTGGTAAACAAGCTCCCCATTGCTTTGCAGTTCATCAGAGCACAGTTGGAGAGTACCTTCAAAGTTTATTTTCTGTTTAAAATAGCTGTGCTAGAAAGCATTACCACATGCATGTGCACTATGAGTATGATTAGCTGGTAAAAGTCAACTACTGGTGCTTCAGCTCAAGGACTTTCTCAGTTCTTGAAGGGATTGCTAAATTCAAAACTGAAATATAATTAAAAACCCTGGAAACTGACTTATTTTTCAGGACTGGATGAGTAGTTGAGTGATTTTCTATTGAGTCACAGTTCCACTAATTCTCTGCATCCTTTCTTGAATCCTAAGTATTTTCTTTATTTTGTCAAGAGGAAAGCCAGTCAAATTGAATAATACTTAAATGTATTTATCTGAACCTTGTTTTACTTCTATTATTTGTGCTATGGAAAGCTGTGTTTATTTAGACCCTCTTTATGTAAAGGATTATTTTGTTCAGATGCATTGGCAATGATGTTTCATATATTTCACAAAATTCTGTCTGTCCCCTGTGATCTCAGTGGTGCAGAAGAGAAGCTGGGGCAGCCGTGATGCAAAAGGGATACTTGCAATCATTCACCTCACCCTCTCTGTTAAAGTAAATTTGTTGCTCAATCTTTCCATGCTGTTTTGACAAGAAACCACTTCAAGGTACATTTTCAAAAGTAACAGTTCAAGGAAGAAGTCTGGATTTCTCTTTAAACATCTAGATATGTCTTTCCATTACCAAAATAATCAATGAGGTACCATTATTGTGTACAACTACTGTTTACCGTAGGTCTGAGACAACTGCCACACTCTGGGCTGTTTGGCTAAGACAGCTAACATTTGAAGCCATTTTTTATGCATTTCTAATTTTCTTAATCCCTTATACCTATTTCAAGTTAATTTTTAAAATGATGTTTCCTTACCTAAGGCAGAGAAGATGGCAGCAGCCCAAAACATTTCTCCCATTAGAGCTGGAATAAACAGGAGTCCTCCCATCCTTTTTCCATAAAGCTGCTGAAAAGGGTCTAACATTGTCACATAGCCTTTGGATCGCATAGGTTTTGCAAAAAACAGACCACCTACAAAGAAAAGTAGCGCAAGACACCAACTGTAGTGGAGTAATGCACTGACATTAAGGGGTAAAACACTGATTGTCAAGTAAAGGTATAACAATATCAGTATTACTGTGTTTTGTTTCTTTAAAGAAATAAGTACAAGTAAAATATTTCCTAGGATCTCTCATTTTACATCTAACCATAGATTTACATAAGCAAAATCACATTATTTATGTCTATGATATAGTAATGGAGAAAAAAATTAATTTTGTTGGTTCAGTTAACTTGATTTCCACTATGATGATGTCAGAGTTTTGTCTCAGTTTAGATCAGCCTAAGGGAATGTCTTTGGTACCGAAGTCTGTTCATACATAGAGAAGAACCCAGCATGGGTATAGGTCTTATTTTTCACATAGAGCTACACCATAAATAAAACAATCTGGGAATCTGGATCAGAAATATGGGTTCACACATGGCATAGAATGCACTCAGCAAAACTGAACATTTCAGGACAACTCAGATTTATAATTCACGTTTAGATCAACATTACTACACCTGCAGGATTGGTCAGATGCTTTCTGGGCTCTGCAGGTGTCAGGTTCCCTGAACATCTGTCATGCACTTATTTCTGTGCACTTTCAGGACATTTGATGTATCACAATTCTGCTCTGCCTGGCTCACGTATGTACTGAGTATGCATGTAACTGTGGAAAGCCCTCACATTCCTAACTAATTTCTAATATACAGTTGTCAAATTCTTTCTGTCTGGGGAAAAAAAAAAAAAAGAAAAGAAAAAAAAAAGGGATAAATCTCATTAAAATCAAAGTAGACACTCTACTGAAATCTTTGTAGTTGACATCAGATGCCTACAGATAAGAAGACTTCTCTCACAATAACACTGCTGAAATGCAATCCATAAGCTACACTACACTAGAAAATCAGGGAGACCCTAATAAAATCAACTGTACAGTATTTGGAGATCCTTAGGTTCTTCATTATAGGGAATCTATTTGTTGTATTGCACAGAAGATTTTCCATATACCTCTGTTGTGCCTGATATTTCTTCAATTCATTAAGTTTCCTGAACAGAAAGCTCTAGCATACCAATCACAATTTATGCCCTTTGTATTATGCTGTCTTTAGATAAGTAGTTTACATGCAGAAGGCCTCCAGAAACTTTTCCTCTATTTTTTCATTGTTCATAACTCCTATACCTATTCTATTTGTTACATCATCATTACAAAATACAACTAAAGCAGGAAAAAAATAGTCACTGGTAGCATAACCTATTAGACTATTCAAACATCCATCAAAGGTAATAGGAGATATTGTAACCATTGGAACTTGAAAAATTGAAGAAATACAGCAAATTATTGAATTAGTGGGAAGGTTAAATTAATCTTAAATCTTTCCAGCCTGAAGCAATAATATTTCTTTTGTTATTTGTTCTTGTATATATATATTTTTTTAAAGGACAAACAACACCTCCTCCCAAATCTGCATGTACATATCATGCATACAGAAATGCTTTTCTTGCTGTGTTCTGAAGAGAGATGTATGGTCACACAGCACAAAATTTTTCTCTGCAGAGGCTGATGTTTATCAGTCCAAGGATGGAGCCTGGATTTCTTTGTAAATAGCTGGAAATGAGGGGAGTAACTAACTCAGCCTCTTGTGGGCTATTGATTTGGGACAATTCTACAACGGCTACAAACCTGGAAGATGCTTATGGCTATAATTCTAATGACCACTTAATGACACAGATCGATCATAACCATCATGACCTGATAATGACATCAACTTATCTCTAGGCAGTTCTACTATTAATGTTTTCCTTACAGGATTCGGAACTCCTCTCAGGGATGGGATTTACTATTGGAACTAGAGCTGGCCTGCATACAACAGAGAGGAATACATACAATGTGGAACTGTTCCACCTGGGAACAGAGGAGGACAAGCCATAGTTTCTGAGGGGAAATTGAGTTGTATAGGAAGAAATAGAAGGAGCAAGAAGACCTAGAAAAGCAACCAAAAGGGAAAAAAGTAGCACAGACTAGCTGGGAGGACGAGGAGGAAAAGGCTCAAAATAGACTGCAAGGGTAAATAGTATCAAAAATCTAGTAAACCAGCCATATTAATACGAGATGAAAAATACAGGATCATTTCTGGAAACATATCCTTTCTAAGCAGTTGCACCAGCACTTGTCTAAGGGCCGTGATCTGTTCAAAACCTGAAAGCATGTATTTGACAGCTTTGTAGAGCATTCATCATAGCTCACAAGGCAATATTTCTGTTGAGAGCTGCTCCATGCAGCTGAAACATGACAAGATATTTTTTATTGCTGTTATTTTGGAGAAAGGTAAGAAGGTCTGCTTGAATTTTGGGAATTAGAGAACAGAACATTAATAATTACAGCACTGTCTGTATTTTACACACTGAACCTGCACATGGAAGAATTCATTATTTTCATTTTGACCATGATTTTGAGTTTCACACTACATATAAAAAGAAATCTAGTTCAACTTTACAGCAACAAAATGGCTCTCCTCCAGACTTCATGCATGAAATTCGGAAATTAGTCTCTCAGTGGAGAGTTTCTAAAATTTAAGCAATTCCCTAACCTGTGAGGATATTTGCTGCATTTGAAGTCCAAGATTTAGACACTATCAGAGAAGCCAGTAATATTTTGCAGATTATATAGGCTCTTAAAAACAGCAAAGCAAAACAAAACAAAAATAAAACCCTGAATATATAAAACCTAGTATATACAGTTAAAAAAAAAAGAACAACAACACATCCAAAAATAAAAACCAACAAAAGCAACAGCTTTTCTCAGTGTCATTTCATCAAACCTGCTTGATGTTATTTCAGATGATGGCCTTGACATCAGAACTCCAAAATCAGTGAGTATCACCTTCATTTCCTTGCTTACCTAAGACCAGACTAAGGGAATATCCAATAGGTGCCTGAGCCCAAGCTAGACCGTAGCCTGGGACATACACAGCTTCTGCAGTCCCGTTGATGTAACCTCCTCCAACCCATGTGGCTGAAAAAGAAGAGGTAGAAAAGCCCTTAATGCACTCAGAGAACAAAAACCTTCCACACTGAAGAGCAAAATTGTCATCACTTATAATACTGCTTTTTTTTACTATGTGTACTATACAAGTACCAGACATAGCATCCTTTTATAGAAGGTAGTCCTAATCCAAAAAAATTTACAACTTAAGCATATGAAAGAGAAACCAGATGACTCTGTACAATCAGTGAATATGTGGGGCCCAAGTTCCCCTTCATACAGAGAATGAAGCATAATAACTCATGAAACATGATCATTTCCTTAGTTTGTTCAAATGAAAGCAAGAGGTAAAGGAGAGGCAAGGAAGAATAACCATGTAATGATTAAGTCATCCCAGTTCAGAAAACTCAGAGCACTGAAATTATACAGTAATTCAATGCAGGCATGTCCAACCTGCAGCCTGCAGGCCACGTGCAGTCTGGTTCAACCCATACTGCAGCCAGATCCCTACAGCATCATGGTGGCAGCTCTGCCCTGCCAACTGGCCCAGCCCCATTAATAGGGAAATCACCATATAGGTATGTGATGGTGCTGCTATTTAAGTTCTAAAAACTGACTTATGTATTTTTGCACTCCCTGCAGGCATATTCTAGAAGAGGATTGTAACATCGTTAATATTATCATTTCTATATAAATAAAAATAAAGTATTTTTAATATACTGAACTCAGACCTTTAATGAATTCTCTTCCTTAAAAAAAGTTTCTACGCTTGAGAATTTTGGACCTTGAGCATGTCTGACCAAAAATCTCAAACACAGAATATTTCTGTGATTGAATCTGTAAAAATCATTGATTATGAATTATGTAATGAAGTTTATCTCTTTGTTTGCAGATTCCATGCAAAAAAGTCTTTTATTTCCTCAGATGTATAATGAGCGAATTTTATGAACCTGAGCCTGTAGTTTGAAGAATGGCAGGCAAGTCATTATGTTTTTGCAAAGCCAATTTGATTTGCCACAAAATCTTTGCCTTCTTACACGACATGCATAGTTCAAACTTCCTGTGTAAAAACTTACAATTGTAAGAAAGTTATTTTCCTTACTCAATATTCAGACTTCTGATGTATTAGATAAACAAGTGGACGTGGATACAACCAATGGAGATACAATTAAAATCCTAAAGAGCTTCAATGTAAATCTATCTGACTACTCTTCCACTTACATGTAATACCTCTTAACTACAACAAAATGGTATTTTTAAACTTGATGCTAAATCACACCATGGCTTTGGAATCAAAGATCTCTGGAAATTTGAGCATTGCAATTGCACCTGATTCTGGATTATGAAGGACAGGAATGGACCATTCTGTTGTTGGAAATACCGAAATGGACTTGTACACAGGATGTGCATGCGGAGAGTATCTTCAGCAAAAGGAGTGACACTATATACCCTGACTTTTCAGTACTGAGAATTTCTGTGCATTACAGAGACGAGTGATGACCATGTGAAACAACATGGAGCAGATGGGTGAACACTGATTCTTGACAAGAAGATTCAGGGATACAGAATGTATGTAGAAAATCATCAGACTTTTGGAATTTTTTGCTTATTAAGAATGTGAATGCACTGAAGCAGCTGGAAATATGATACTTTGGTTACCAGAGTCCCTGTGCACCTGAGATATGTGTTCCTTGTTGTTTCTCAAGTAGTATATATACTTATGGAATGTGTCACGATCACCTGCGTACCGTAGCAAAAGTCACTGAGTAAATTTTTAGAAATATATTTGTATATGTCTGTTTCCCTGGAAAAATTAGAAGAATGAATTCTGAATGAATGACACCCACTTCCAGGTAGGAAGAATCCCATAGGCAAGGACAGATATCTAGCAGAACTCCTGCTGTGGTACAAGAAGGCTTTGGTGGCTGGCATTGATTTGCCTGACGCTGACACTGAAAGTGTCTCTGTTCTCCAAGGAGAACTTGGATGCTGTGCCTTGCTTCTTTATTTTTGTCTGGAAGTGACCAAGCAATTTCAATCCTGTAGGATGTGGGAGGGGCCATTGCCCTCCCCTGGCTGGGGATGAGAACGATGCCCCATGGACAGGTATTGGTGAATAAGCTAGAATGGAGGATTTAGCACTCTTTCATAATTTCATCATTTGTTTTCTTGATAGGGAGTTTGAAAATTAGCTGCTGATCAATTTTTGTATGTACACAACTCTTCTAGAACATCTGCAAGGAACCCCAGAGCTTTAGAAAGGTGTTACACAGTTTTTTGTCAGGGGGTTAAGAGCTACCCTGTCATCAGTAAATACATTCGGAAGAAAATAATGGGATATGGTAGGAAGGGATTTCATCCTTAGATATTAATTTTCTGATCCTCATTTTTTTAAGCCACAATTTAAAGTTAATTTTTTTTTTTTTTTTGTGAAATTCTCTCCCCCTCCCCCCCAAATCAGACAAAAGGAATATAAAATTTAATAATCTATAGAAACACTTGCAGTAATCCATTTTAATCCTCTCTTTCCCTTCCAACTGAAGGGCCCCAAAAGGCTGCAAATAGAAACGTCCATTTGAAGCAAATGCCCTACAAATAATCAGACAAATACTTAGGATATGGAGCATAATTTGGTTTCTAGTTCATATGAGGAACATAAAAATACATTTCAGAAATCTTTATATATTTCAATGTATATTAATAAGACAGATTTTCTGATACTTCTTTGTAAATGATCCCTTGTCTAAACACACAAATTATTGAATCAGCTCATCATGTTCTATGAAACGGAATTTCCAACCCAGGGATTACAAAAAAAAAAAAAAAAAAAAAAAAAAGTCAGAATACTGATAATGTTGGTAATAGTGATAATATTTATTTTATTTTTGTGAAACAATACAAAGTTTCATCCAAGTAAAATGAAAAATGTTGTCAATAGATTATGATATTTTTAGTTGCACTTGCAAGAATTTTGATTATGTAATTTCAAACATTTCCTTTGGGGTTCAATCTCAACCACTAAAATCAGGATAGCCTCAAGTCTGTCACAGGTATCACTGCTTAAAATTGCCACCCCACAAATTAAGGAATATTTACATTTAATTCAACATTTTACATATACTCACGAAAAATTAATACATGAATTGAAGTCTTGCCTACTGCGGCACTATGTTAGGAGAACTGTTGTAATCCATTGAGAATTCAAGATTTTCACTCTTTTTTGATAATTGCAGACACATTCAACCTTCAATAGGCTTCATGTTCAGGCATTCCAATAACAAGTTCCTAAAACAGTTTGCTCAGGATCACAGTACCAATCCAAATATGTCCATATTCATAAGGCGTACTTTAAAGCTTTGAAATACAATTCAGAAAATCAACTAAATACTTACAAATCTTTAATCTATCCTATGAAGTCATGATGCTTACACTTTCAACTTGATTTTAAATTTACAACCTAAGTTCTGCCATCCTTCCCACCAAGCAGCTTTAGAAAACACAGCTGTTTTTGTAGCTAATACACATGGACCACAGTAGAATTTGTCTCAAGCAAGAAAAACAGAATTGAGCCTTATCTCATAACCCAAAGTATTTCACGTACATATAAAAAATATCATTTCTGGGGATATTTTAAAAATCCAGCTTTGCTTAGACAACTCAAGTTGTGACATATTAAGAGCATGTCTGAACAGCCATCTAGTTCTGGAGATGTTGTTGTGATGCATGAAATCTAGCCCATGGTTTTTAAAGAACTGTGAAACTATTTTGTAAAAGTTGTTGTGGATTTTGATCAGCTTACACTCACACAACAATGGTTTTGTTATGTTTTCACAAAAGGCATGTGCCAATCAACTCACTTTTGTTACTGAGACAAAAACTGAATTAGTTCTTGGTTCTGCTGTGTTGTGCGTGCAGCTCCTATCTCTACATGCCAGGTGCTCCCATAGTGAAAGCGGAATTTACTTGCTGTCTCAAACTGTGTCTGCTGTATTTATGAAGGCAGAGGTTAGAAAGTATGTAAACCCTGATGGTATAAAGTCTGTGAGTGTTCCATCTGAGCAAAAACTTGAAGATCAATCTGATGTTCTACCTGAGAAATGATACACTACGCCATCTTCAGAGGTGGCATGAAATGAGGCGAATGTGTGTGGGTGTGAATTCTGGTGGTTATAGAAACTGTCTGTAATATAGGGAGCCCAAATTCAAGTCTCATCTGTTCTTCACCTTTTATGAAAAGTACTACTGTAAAATGGGATTAAGGAGACCAAATTTATGCCTCCTTCCACCGGCAAGGCAGTTCATCATAGCCACTTCTGTGGAGAATATAATTTCATCTCCTCTTTTCCAATCTAACGATTATAGCTTTGTGGCAGGCAGTATCTCCACAAAATATTCTTGTATCAGTGCCCTTGAAAACATTTGATTTAGCAGAAAACAGACAAACTAGCTCTTGTCATGAGTAGAATCTGGTCATATCTGAAGTTTCAGTAGCTGATGAATACATGGCTACTGATGCACCATCTGATGTGCTCCAGTATGTTATAGCAAAGTGGTAAAAGTAGAACATATACCTGGATTCAAACTTCAATGACATTTACAAGAATCCTTTACTCATGATCTAAATATTCAACCTTTCAATGAGCAAAATGACTCTGCAGGGTGATGGAAAAGAACACACAATTCCTGGCCCAAGTTTTTATGCATCTCCTATATATTACATCTTGAAAAACCAGGCAGGAGAAAACAAAACAAAAGTCATAACTTGATGAATTCAATTTGGGAACTGAAAGCGCTTTGCCGGAATTTAATTTAGAATATCAAAAAAGTAATGAAACATGCTTAAATAAAATTATATTGCTTAAATCAAAAATGGTGGGCCAATTCACTCTTCTTGCAATGTACTTTTGTTCTGATCCCCGATGTTAGCTTCAAGAGCTGAGATTTTGGACCTTGCTGCAAACCTTTTGTTTACCCATGCAACTTATCAGGTTCGACTGGCTCTGGGAGTCAAACAGCACTGCTAAGAAAATTAGTGAGCTTATTCTTCACTGAGGCTTTTCCTTCTGATACTAATTTTCACAGAAATGTATTATTTTGTCAAAATGCCACAAAAGATGTTAAAGAATTCACAAAGTAAGTTTGCAGAAATCAGTGAGCTTGAGAGTTTAGATTTATGCCAGTTTTCTTTGTGAGACTAATTCTGAACTGATGCTGCCTCGCATCTTTTTTTACATATAAATTTTGCTTTACTCAGACTTAGCAAAAATAACTCATGAATTTGGATGGCTTTAACAACAGCAACAGTTATTTTAAAATTAGTTTTCCTATTAGTCTATAAAGCTCCTATATTTCTGTTCCAAACATGCCTGATCTACAAATGGATATGAAAGCAGTGAGTAAGATATGAAATATCTTACTGTACAATTTTAAAAAGTTTGTTGTTTTTATCTAGATGCTACACTTCGTTCACTAAACAACTTCAGCAGCAATTGGGGAACAAAATATAGGTATATCCTCCACTACGCATTATTTAGTGTACAGATTATAATTCTCTTTCACTCTGATGGAAAACTAACAAGCTATATGCTGGTTAGGGATAAAAAAGAAGGGGAAAAAAGACCTTTTACATACCGGTCATTGTAAATCCACCAACTAGCAAGCCAATGTCTCTTCCGCCGACGATAATAGCTTCGCTGCGATCTCCATCGCTGCCGGTGTTCTTGGTTTTCCAAGCAGCCCATATCCCAACTGCCAGGATAGCCAGGTAAAACACAGCTATGGCCACCAGTCCCTCCACATGGAAAGGCATGTTGGAGTCCCGACTGGTTTTTTTGATCGTTATTTCATTAAGGCTGCTGGAGAGAATGCAATAATATGTCTGCGTTTAGCAAACCTAGCAAGATGCTTTTCAGAATCAATCTACGAAGAAAACTCAGATCGTTATTGAAAAGGCTGTTGTGGTGAATTTATTAAATGAGCACTTCAGATGTAACTGAAATTAAGCTTACGTGCCAATTGAAATGCCTGTGGAGCAACAAGCAACAGCTGTAACCTGTGATTACAATGGGAAGTGAATGATGTGGCCGAAAGCTACGCAATTCTGATAAATCAGTTCCTGAATACGGAATTCTTACAGTCACGGAGTTGCCGCTGTTAGAACTCTTTAGACAAGAAATAGCTTGGTACATGGAATAGCAGAAAAGAGCTTGGCCATGTGGTCTGTTACAGAAGTCTCTATTTAGTCAGAATATAAAAACTGCACAGAAGTAACAACAACAAAAGGTATCTTTTGATGTATTGGAATGCTGCATCTTTTCCACCCTCGGCCCCCTTCTGCATTTAAAAATCTCCACTTTCTTTTTAGTGACAGGCTTAATTTCTCAGCGTTAAATGTACCGATCAATTCACGATCGCGCTTTCATCTGGAAAGCGCAAAAGCTGTCGGACGACAGCAAACACCAGCTCCCCGACCTACAGCCCGGAGCCCCTCCCTGGCGACCCCCCCAGTCTTCCTCGCGTTTCTCAGCTCTCATCCGCCCGCTCCGTGCTCGCCTCTCCCCTGCAGCTCCGGCAACAGCCTCCCACCGCCCCGACGGCTCCGCGGGAACCCCTCGCTCCATCCCGCGGAGCCGCCCTACCTGCCGCTCTCCGCGGATCTCCTCGGGGCTCCGCCCGCCCCGCCCGGCCGCGCACCCTCTCCTCGCCTCCCGCTCCGCTCCCTCCCGCCGCACCGTCGGGGAGCCGAGACCGCTGCGCTGCGCCCGCCGCCCCACCTGGGATCCGGCGACCCGGCCGTCCATCCCTGGGGCGCTGTCGGGGCTGAGCCCGGGGGCCGTGCCCCCACCAGGGGTCTGCCCGCAGGGGGTGGGAGTGAAGCGCAAAGGCGGCTGTTCCCCTCTCGGTGCGCCGAGTGGTGAGGTTGCAACGGTGGGCTGGTGAATTAAAAAGAGGAAAATCCCTTTATAAAGGAGGAGGGTCGAGTGGGGTGAGAGGACCGTGTCCGTCAGAGATGGGGGGGGAGGATGGGGGAAAGACGTCAGAGTGCTAGGGGACGTTGGGGGGAAGTAAGGATGACTCAAGGGAGAGTGATTGTCGTGTCATGGTAGAGAAACAGGGTTAGGAAGTAAAAGTGGGGAGAAAAAATGAAAGGGAACAAGGGGGAGAAAGGAAGGAACAGGTTCATGTGAGACCAAAGGGAGAGAGGAAGAAAAGAACGAGCCGATCAGAAAAGGAGTGCTGAAAAGAGGGATGAATGAAAGGGAGAGAACAGAGGGAAGAAGAGGGAAGGTGTGCTCTGTGCTCTCACTGCCCCCCAGCACCCCACCTGCACCTCCCACAGGCCTGACACCAAGGCTGGGCTCTCCAGGGCTGGTCAGAACCAGCTTTCCCCTTAGCTCCCTCCATGCTGTGCATCCCTCCCTGGCATGCAGCTGGGTTCCCACCCACAGTGCTGCTAAATCTTGGGGCTCTCCCTTTTTGATGTGCCGCTCATAAACTTGACCTGCAGCCCAACAGTCATACCAACCTTGCTTTAAAAGGTTTCCTGCCCTTTCCCTCCAAATGATGCTGGACAGTGGGTCCCTCAGAGCTGAGAATGGTATTGTATGTGGAAAAAGGACCCATGCACACTGTTGCCTCAGTTTTTATTGAGAGAAGGCCTTGCTGAGCTGTATCAGTCACTATTAGCCCAAAAGAGGCAGACAACATGGGCTGCAGGTTCAAATAGGATGGAAAAGTGGAAATAAAAAGCCTGTGGGAGCGTAGAGATGAGATTGATACAAGCCAGAATCAAGCAGACAGTATAGAAGCGTCTTAGAATCAAGAGGAAAACCGTGATCAAGGAGGATATAAGGACAGAGAAGGCAGAGGTTGCAGGCCAGCAGGGCTCATCACCCAGTAAGGAAGGAAACATGGACTGTCCCAAGTCTGCTGTCAGCCAGCTGCCCAGCCTGCAGAGAGCCTCTGCTGCCTACTGGCAGACTGATGAGCCCATCATGCCAAGCAGCATATCAGCCCAGCCACTTAATATATACATTATGTGCAATCAATTATTATTGCATATCTGTAAAGTGCGTAACAATGCTTTCAAATATCTGGGCTTGGTTGAAGAAGCCCAAATAAAAGTGACCAGTGAATTAAAAGCTATAAAATGTACTATTTTTGTCAGCCAATCATCTTGTGGACTGTTGAGTGATGCTACTGATGAATGTTTGCCTTGGGAGTTGGCAGTAAAAACTCTTCCCAGTAAAAAACAGAGATGCACTTTATACACAAGGGAGCATCGTAGCACCTTCTCAGTAGTACTCCAATCGTAATTAAACATAACATCAATGATAAGTAGAAGTCATGGACTTCGGAAACAGCACTGAATGTCCCTGTTAGAAGCAAATAAATGAATTTCAGCAAGTAAAACATGTTAGAAAATTCTTGGGTGATATAATGGATGTTAAATTAGATTTACAGAAAAAATTAATTACATGTTAGTCTGTTTTTCTCTGGCTCAGTGCAGAGGAACACGTGACAAAACAAAGTATAGAAAATTCTGATGAAAACTGCTATCCAAGAGTCTTTCTTAGCACATTGAACTAGCTAACTAGCCTGCTAACTAAATTTTAAATTGTAGCTTTAGTCTTCACTGAAAACTGTGGCAAAATTCCTGTTGTCCTTAGTGGCCCTAGTTGAACCTGTTCTGGAATGGGGAAACAATATTTTTATTCATTTTTAAAACTTGAATAATTTAAGTGAATTACATTTGAATGAAATTCATTAAAATGAATTAAAACTATTAATTTTGATTTATTTAACCTCCTGGGACAAGTTTCTTGCATATTTCGTAAGAATGGTTTTCAGACTTGTACCCAGTGAAAGAACTATACTGACCAAATTTTACTTTCCACCTGAATCTACTCTAACTACAAATAATTTAAATCATACATTTTCTCTCTCATGAGATACTCATCTAAAGTATACATTCCTTAAGCTGATAAAGCTTTGGATTTTGAAGCTGCCTTTGGATGTATCTGGAAAAGACCGAGGCAATCATTTTAGTGAGGTGTGACCATCATTTGGTTTAATAATTTAGTATTCCTTCCTTGCTCTTCCACTGGTACCACTTCAGGCAGTTTTGTAGTCTTTGTCTTGGGTAAAGACCTACTGGATTCCTGTGTGGATTATGCCAATTGCACTTCATCAGCAGCCTTCAAGAGGTGGCACAGAGGGAAGGTTGTAAACTGAGAGAGGAGAGGTTTAAGTTAGATGTTAGGAGGAAGTTTTTCACACAGAGGGTGTTGAAGCACTGGAACAGGTTGCCTAAGGAGGCTGTGGATGCCCCATCCCTGGAGGCATTCAAGGCCAGGCTGGATGTGGCTCTGGGCAGCCTGGTCTGGTGGTTGGTGACCCTGCACATAGCAGGGGGTTGAAACTAGATGATCATTGTGGTCCTTTTCAACCCAGGCCACTCTATGATTCTGTGAACCACAGCCATATGCAATGTTCATGTCTTAGGGTGTGCATAAATGGGTTCCAGTAAAATTTACAGCTTTTGTGAAAATATGTACCATGGTGCCAATTACTTTTTGCAGCTACAGAGTTACTTATTGCAGCCACACTAGACCTGACCACATTTCCAAAGAGATTTTTGTGTAGTATAATAGGGCTGAGTTTGTGTTTTACAGGAAAGAGAACCAGACAGTTCCATTGGCAGTTTGCCACTTTTAAGATAATCGTTCTTTGCTTGGACATTATTTTCTCCTTTTCTTTTTAAAGAACATAGCTTGAAAATGCACTCTTTATTTAAAAAATAACCTTGAAACTTAATTTTCATTAAGAAATGAAGAAGAAATAATAAATAAGAAATTTGATCCAATTTACTCACCTTGAATCACATTCAAGTTTATTTGTGTGTTGGATGGTGGCTTCTCATCACCGTAACCTGCCTCTGCCCAAAGGGAAAGCCCTGCCTTGAAGAGTAACAGCACTGGACTTGATAACCCTGTAGAGCAGGGCAGTCCAAGGTCCAAGACAGGATGGCAGAAGAACACATACTGCTCTTCCATTTTGGTTAAGTTAGCTGAATGAATGCTCAGCACTAAAGAGTAACCTGATAAATGGTGGTAAGTTTTTGGGCTCCCCAGTACAAAAAAGACAGGGATCTCTTGGAAAGAGTCCAGCGGAGGGCCACAAAGATGGTGAAGGGCCTGGAGCATCTCTCCTATGAGGAAAGGCTGAGTGAACTGGGTCTGTTCAGCCTTGAGAAAAGAAGACTGAGAGAGGACCTGATCCAGGTCTATAAATACCTAAGGTGTGGGGGCAGAATGATGAGGCTGGACTCTTTTCAGCAGTGTGTGGAGACAGAACAAGGGGAAACGGCCGGAAACTGCAGCATAGGAAGTTCTGCACAAATGTGCGCAAGAACTTCTTTACAGTGAGGTGACGGAGCACTGGAACAGGCTGCCCAGGGAGGTGGTGGAGTCTCCTTCTCTGGAGATGTTCAAGACCTGCCTGGATGCCT